CAAAAAGACAAAAACCAAAAAAAAAAAAAAAAACTTTTAAAAAAAAAAAAAAAAAAGAGGAAAATTTTTCACCTATTATTCTTACTCTTTACTAACAGATTAGGACATTTCTTTTCTCAATTCAAGGAAGGATGTAACAGCAAAATAATACACGGGAAAAAGAATGAAAGAAAATGCCATGATCATTAAATGGGTACTTTAAAAAGTAGAATTCTGATCAATGTGGAAGAGTTTAGAGTAATTATTAATAAAAACAGACAAAAAGATAAACTTCACAAAAGGGAGAAACAGTCTTGAACTTTAACAAAACAAAATCCATTTTGTTTTTAAAGCTTTATTCTTCTATTTGAGAGAGAGAGAGAGAGCACATGAGCAGGAGGGGCAGAGAGAGAGAGAATCTCAAGCATACTCCCCGACACAGGGCTTGATCTCACAACCCTGAGATCACAACCTGAGTTGAAATCAAGAGTTGGATGCCCAACAAACCATGTCACCCAGGCACCCCCAAAATCCATTCTTGATATACACAAATACACAAAAAATCTAGGCCAGATCTCCAATTATGATTGGAACAAAAAAAATCTAATATGCCATTAAAAATAACTTATAAAAGTTATAAGTTATACATATAAAAAGATGAAACCTCTGTGGAATGGAATATATCATGTTCTCCTGTGATTCCTGCATCTATAATATACCAAGAGTAAACATAGTGTTAGAGTCATGTAACTCTTTCTTAAGGAAATAAACTGTCTAAAATCTGTATTAACGTTATTGAATGTACAGCACACTTTTTTTTTTTTAATTTTTTTTTTTTTAAAGATTTTATTTATTTATTTGAGAGAGAGAATGAGAGAGAGAGAGAGCATGAGAGGGAGGAGGGTCAGAGGGAGAAGCAGACTCCCTGCCGAGCAGGGAGCCCGATGCGGGACTCGATCCTGTGACTCCAGGATCATGACCTGAGCCGAAGGCAGTCGCTTAACCAACTGAGCCACCCAGGCGCCCTGTACAGCACACTCTTATGTTCAAATGCCACAGATATCCCCTAAGCCCGGAAAAATTCTTTATTAAGCACGTACTTTATCTAAAAAAAGGGTACATGTATAGTTCAAAATGTATCAATCTGAATGGTTTTATCTGTAAGCTAAAAAGCTAGCCATAATACATGTTTTTAATGGAAATAAAGAAGAATTTAGGAAAGATGACTCCAAACACACACGAGTTTCATATAAGGCTATTAAAGATGCAAAACCTCTGAAGAGTTTAAAATGTGAAAGATGTACAGCATTTAAAATTATCCTTAAAAAAAATCATTCTTTGCTTTCATAAAAAAAAAGTTTATATTGATTCCTACAATAAAATCTCAGAGATTAATATTTTCAACTATTAAGGTATCAGTTATGATTAAGAAATTAAATATTTATTAAAGGAACCTTGCAATAGGTTTTCTACATACCACATCATCTTTGCTTTCATTCTTGAATGAAGTTTCTGTCTCCATAGGAGCATCACTGTGATCCCCTTCCACATTTTGCTTCTCAATTACCGATGCACTGGCCACACTGAAGATTCCATGGATGTTAACACGAACTTTAACCTTCACTTTGGAACTATCACCATCAGACTGAGGAAAAACATTCTGAATAGTGAAGCTCCCTTAAGGAAAAAAGAGCTTCCATCAGTACATGGGCCTCCAATTAACCTATTCATTCAATAATTTTGACTGTTATCTTTCAGATGATGGCAAATAATCATAAATCATATCCAGAATAATTACTGTGGAAAATGCACTAACCCTAGATCACCTTTTTTTTATATCTTAATAAACCTAATATTAAGATTTAGAAGGGTTAAGCAGCCTGCCCAAAATCATCAATACTAGGACAAAGGTAAATTGGAATTTCAACAAAGGACAATTTGACCCAAGGCAATATAGCTTTTAAGTATTTTATAATACTGCTATCCTAAAACCAAAATAACAAAATCTAATTTCTGGGTTTGGAAACAAAATGGACATTATCCTTTTGCTGTAAGTCTTGCAAACCATAACCATCTTGGTAATTCACGAATAAAGCAATTTTTAAAAAATTTCACCCTATAACAAAATTGCTAAGTTATTCAGTTACTAATACCTACAGAGATATTAACTTCTCACTTTAAGAAACTATTTTATTATTTTTTTTAAAGATCTTATTTTTAGGTAATCTCTACACCTAACGTGGGGTTTGAACTCAACCCCTAGATTAAGATTCACACACTCTTCCAACTGAGCCAGCCAGGTGCCCCTCTGCTGTTTTATTTTTAAAAACCCATAATATATAATGATATCCATAGTAGAGAGAGGATACTAGGCAGAAAAACTGGTAAGTAAAAAATTTGGTTGACCTTTGTTATAGGTTGAATTGAGACCTCACCCTCAAATTAATATGAAGTCTTACTCTCAAGTACCTCAGAAAGTGACCTTATTTGAAGAGTCTTAGCAGAGGTAATCAGGTTAAGATGAGGTTATCAGGGTGGGCTCTAATCCAATGACTGGTGTCCTTATTTGGAGACAGATACACATACAGGGACAATGTCATGTGAACATGAAGATGGCTATCTACCAACCAAGGACAGAAGCGTGGAAGAGATCCTTTCCTCAAAGCCCTCAGAAGGAATCCTGTCAACACTTTGATTTCGTACTTTTAGCTTCTAGAACTGGAGACAACAAATTCTCTTTAAGCCACTCAGTTGGTGGTACTTTGTTACAGAAGCCCTGGCAAACTAATTCCACCTTCCTTAACTTATTTCTATTGCTTTAAATAACGTATTTGAGATATTCATATTGTTCCCTTTTTAGTCTATCAATAAAAGCAATACAAATAGAAATTTAAAGAATTATAAATTATTCTTTCTCTTAAATGTTATAAAAATCGTACTTTGTTTTATATCTCTAAAAAAGATTACTCAGCTAAAACAGTTATTACAGTCCCCAATTCTCACTTTTGTATTAATCCAATGACATGAATTCTAGTTGTTGCCAGGGAACCTAAGTTTCAAGTCAGGATATACGGTCAGTCTGGCAGCACAATTTCAACTTACTGATTAAGGAGTTTTTCCATAAAAAATGACCCTCACCCAAACCTTTCAGGCAAATTACAGAGCATTTTAAATAGAGAAGTCAGAATGAATTAAAAATACTCAAACCTGTTACTCCAGGATAAACTGTGAGCACTAAAAGTGCATGTTTAGAAAAAAATATATTGCTTTCAGTGCTAGCTTAGCTCGAATATCAATTTATTTCCTTGATTCAAATATTAATAATTTACAAAAGGCAAAAGTTTGTGAAATTTTTTTCTTGAGTTCTCTTACCAATTCTTGGATCAGGATAAGGCACTTCATGTAAATTAGTATAAAATGCTTCTAGTTCAAATGGTTCCTTCTTGTGGAAAGTAATGACTTTTGAAAATGGGGCAGGATGGTTCTTACAGAATACTTCACATTCCCTAAAATGGAGTGGGAAAACAGTTCAAAACAAATAGAAAGTTTTCTATGAATCTAATTACAGAATCCATGTCATTCCTAATTCAAAAGCAGCAACTGTAAAGACCTCTACCCACAAATGTAAAGAAAAAGAATTACTGGTTTTGCTATGAACATGCAATTTGATAGGTTTATGGCTCAAAGTTTTTAGAAAGTCTGTCATAGTAACAGACAATTCTATCTTAAAAAAGAAAGAAAAATTAACTGCAATTAGGTATATTTTGAGGCTAATATACACGAATTAGTTTTCTGTTCACATATGTGGACCAAATCCTACCCCTTAGTTTCCAAAATAAATACTTGTCATATGTAACCCTTTTTATTCTAGCTCCCTTAAAAAAAACTTTTATTTGAAACTAATTTCAAACTTACAGAAAGGAGCAAAAATAAAAACAGCACAAGGAAGGAACACCTGTATATCTTTTACCTAGATTTACTACTGTCAGCATTTTATTCTATGTTTCATCACTTAAGTGCATACTCCGTGTACATGTGTATTTTTTCCCGAACCAGTGGAGGTTGTTACATACATTATAGCTCTTTACCCCTAAGTACTTCAATGTGTATTTCCTAACAGCGATATTCTCTACTATAACCACAGTACAGCTGTCAACTATAAATTTACACTGATACTTTAACATGTAATCCATATCCCAATTTTTTCAACTGATGTAATAATGTCCTAGTATTTCCTCCTCTCCAGTACAGGAAGTTTTAAAACCTACATAACAATTCCCACTCTTAAATAGTTTAACAGAAATGGCTTATAACTATTGTTTATAGTGGCCCAGAAACTCACTCTATAATACTATACCATCACCCTATTCATTATGCAAGGTTTGCAAATCTCATATCCATGGATCTTTCCCTCTATCCTAGTTTTCAAGAACCTACATTATCTTTTACTTTCTTATTGTAATCACTAGGATAGGTTTACTTTTCAATGTAACTCCCCATATGCTTCTTATAATTTTTTTCTGCATCACTGTATCTTTAACTGAAATTAACTTTAATTATCTTTTTAAATTTATTTAGGGCCACCTGGGTGGCTCAGTCGGTTAAGTGTCTGTCTTCAGCACAGGTCATGATCCCAGCGTCCTGGGATCAAGTCCTGTGTTGGGCTCTTTGCTCAGTGGGGAGTCTGCTTCTCCCTCTGCCCCTCACCCTGCTCATGCTCACTCTCATTCTCTCTCTAATAAATAAAATCTTTTAAAAAAAATAAAGTTTAAATTAATCTCTTACGCCCAACATGGGGCTCAAGCTCACAACCCCAAGATCAAGAGTTGCATGCTCTTCCAACTGAGCCAGCCAGTTAACCCCTGAAGTTAACTCTTTTAAAGAACACCATTTCTGGGCGCCTGGGTGGCTCAGTTGGTTAAGCGACTGCCTTCGGCTCAGGTCATGATCCTGGAGTCCCGGGATCGAGTCCTGCATCGGGCTTCCTGCTCAGCGGGGAGTCTGCTTCTCCCTCTGGCCCTCCCCCCTCTCATGTGCTCTCTCTCTCTCAAATAAATA